CTGGTCTTCACTGTGATGCTTTTGGTGGATGAAATAGCCCTGACGACCAGTCTAAGTGCAGTGGAGGACATGGTACATGACCATGTAAAACAGAAGTTTGTCATCTCAGACAAATCCACTATGTTTAATCAAATGGATGTGGATAAACTGAGTGGACTGTGGAGCAGAATTTCTCACCTCATCCTGCCAGTGGCTGCAGAAGAGAAAATTGAACAGCAGGGATGTGGGGCATAACCTCACGGAAAATCATAAGATTGTATTACTGTATTGGGCTGGACAACTCATTTTGTAGAGTTTTGAGTTTAACTGGTCTATGTCATGAATGTGTGGACCACAGAAATGTACATAGAGGATATTTATTCCAAAGAGGTTTTTAAAAAAATGTATATGTTTATAAATGTTTTATACAAATGGTTTTTGTATTCGCCTACATTTGGTTCTTTGTTTTCTTTGATAATATGTGTGTGAAGGCAGACACTTGATCATATAATAATAATAATGCTTCTGGAATTAAATAGTAAGCATTTGGCTTACAATATAAATCAGCAAATGAATTGTTGTACATTCCTTTTGGCCCAAATGTTCAAGTGAGGATGAAGACCACAAGTGTGTGGTGAACTTTTCATTACCTAATGGGACACTGTTCAACTGGGGGCAATATAGCATTGTTTACTAGTATGAAGCCTTATTAACAAGCCTTTGTAAAAAGAACAGTTAGCACATTAATTTGTAAGGTAACAGCCTCGACAGCTGTGCTGAATCAATGTTCAGTGTTTGTCATGTGACAACACTTTAGCATACTATGAAATATTTGTTGCTTATTGTATACTGTTTCACATGCTGTTATTTAAAAAAAAAGTAGGCAGTATGCACTGTGTACTGGGCAGTAAGCAAGTATGCCATTTTGAACACAGCCAAGCGTTTCAGAGCAAGCCGATCACAGAGTCCGTAAAATATAATGTTAAATTTTACAAGCCCCACCCATGACTTTTGACAGACACTGCCGTATTAGCCGAGACCCCGCCAGTCCAGAGCAGTGAGTGATTTTCTGACAATTTTAGTAACATAATAATAATAATCAAAACCAAACAGATGTTTTTTGCCAGAGTATCTGAGTTACGAGCTGTAAAGGCAGCCCTATTCTGCTTAAAGAAGTTATTAATTTGCTCAATGAATACTACTAACACATGCTTGTCGGTACTCTGAATTTTGAAATCGGAGTGCTGAACAGTATAAAAATGTATGCTGCACATTCAATAAAGCCCATTGGGTCAGAGTTCAGTTCTGTTAGAGACAAGAAAATTATGTCACGGGAAAAAAAAAATCACTGTGCAGGTTGAATAACAATCAAAATAATGATGAAAAAAGATTAGAGGAAAAATGGCTGGCCGTCTTCCAACAGGAACCTATATAATTAGGAAATTAATAAATAACATGCAACGAAATATATTGTTACAAATCGTTACTGATAAGAATTGGAGGTGAACAGAATGTGCAATAGTGATATTTGAAAACATATAGACCTAGATAGTTTCATCAAGAATTTAAATACGTAATGAAATATAACAAATCATCTCTGTAGAAAGATACCAATGAAACAATAGCTTCTTTGACTAAATCAATTTTGGGACATTTTGAAGTAGCCTACACCTTACTATGAATCGGTAAGTAAAAAAAGTCAAAAGAGATTTAATACTTGTTACATATTGAGCTCAATACGCTCAAAACAGTGGAGATGATGGAGGGCTTCAGGAGAAACCCCCCTGCTCTCCCCCCAATCGCCATCATGGACAGCGCTGTAACGACAGTGGAGTCATTCAGGTTCCTGGGCACCACCATCTCACAGGATCTGAAGTAGGACATTCACATCGACTCCACTGTTAAAAAGGCCCAGCAGAGGATGTACTTCCTTCACCAGCTGAGGAAGTTCAACCTGCCACAGGAGCTGCTGAAACAGTTCTACTCCGCCATCATTGAATCCGTCCTCTGCACTTCAATAACTGTCTGGTTCAGCTCAGCTACCAAATCTGACCTCAGAAGACTACAGAGGATAGTCCAGACTGCTGAGCAAATCACTGGTACAACTCTCCCTTCTCTCCAAGAACTGTACTTATCCAGAGCGAGCAGAAAGCCTGGCAAAATCACCCTGGACCCCTCACATCCAGCACACTCCCTCTTTGAACTGTTGCCAATAACAATTTGTATATTGTTATTCTCTATTTACTTATTCTCTATTTATTCTTTTATTATCTGTGTATTGTCTTGTCACTGTCATTCTGCTGCACTGTGGAAGCTTCTGTCATGAAAACACATTCGTATGTGTAAACATACCTGGCAATAAAGCTCATTCTGATTCTGATATTATAAGATAATAAGAGTATCAGTCAAGATTAATGATTCAGTGAATTTAATCCTATAAAGCAATATTGATGACAAACGGAAAAAAAGGTTATTTTCAAGAAAACGAAAAATAAAAGATCATTCATAAAAGAGTACTGGACAGATATGTGCTGATGTGAATGTGCTGATTTTCGTATTCTTTGATTAGGGTTGAAGCCTCACTCCACTGTCATTCTCGTTCACAGCCTAGTCACCTCTCGTTTAGACTACTGCAATGCCCTCCCGTATAAAATCCTCCATAAGTTACAACTGGTCCAAAACTCAGCTGCCCGTATTATCACTTGGACATCACACCCATTTTACAACAGCTCCATTGGCTCCCCATCATTTACCATATTAACTACAAAATACTTCTCACTCTTAAAGCCATTCATAATCTCCTCCATCCATCTCAGTCTGTTCCCCCACAGTCTCCCCACTCCCTCCTGACCTTCGTAACATAAACTCTCTCCCACATTTTAAATCCAAACTCAAAACCCATCTGTTTAGAATAGCTGACTCCCTCTGATCACAACTGAATTGTGTTTTTTAAATTGTATTGTATCTCACTGTCTTCATTGTTTTTTACTTAATATTGTGATTGCCTTGTTAATGATGTACGGTGACCTTGAGTGTCAAGAAAGGTGCCTATAAATAAAATGCATGATTACTATTACACACTATTTCTGTCATGATTCACAGGGAGTGGGCAGCGAGGAGACGCAGGATGAACTCAAAACAAACAGACTTTAATAAATAAACAGGCACACAAATCGGGCAGGATGACAACGAGGAGACCAGAAGACATTTAAATCTCCTGTGTTGATGTACTCCTGGTCTCCTCATTCCTCGCTCCGCACTCCAACACAGTAGCAACGTGACAGAATACTGGACCAAAACAGTAAGCGGCGCCCCTTCTCCCCGTGTTTCTCCCCGTAAAATCAGAATCTAGACGAGATATTTTATTAGAAGTAGTGCAAAGTTTGTACAGAATACGGAATCTGAGAATTCTAGCAGAATTAGTATGGGTGCCTGCTCATGTTGGAGTGGAAGGAAATGAGGAGGTAGACAAGATAGTGAAACAGGCTCTTAAGCACACAAATATTGACATACATATACCCTTGAGTAAATCTGAAATTAAAGGTTTAATTAAAGTAGCTGTCAGAAAGATATGGCAAGAGAGCTGGGATAAAGGTAACAAAGGGCGACATTTGTATGATATAAATAAACAAGTAGGACACGTAAGAACTGCTTATGGTAATAGAAGGGATGATACAGTTATATCCAGTGGCGGCTCGTGGGTTTTAAAATAGAGGAGGCACACTAATTGTATTGGTCTGGGATCCCTGCCGATTATTATTATTATTCTTTGCTTAACCACATTAAAACGGCTTTTTGGTTGCTTTTAGTCAGAAAACTTAAAGAAAACGACATACATACAGCAATATAATATAATTGAACTTACCTGGCCTATCACTTGAAGCAAACATCCATCCCTTCTTAAAAGTCTGTGTTAAAAGAGAGCTGCCTGTTCCACTTAATTAAGCCGACTGCTGTAACGTTAGCCTATATCCAGCTTAGGCTGTTTTCCCTAAATTTGTATATATACTGTTTGAATGACAGCTTGGCAAATCTGTTGGCGATCAAATATTCAATATCGCTACTCATCATAAGTACTTGGTACATTATCAGCGCAGCGGGAGACGTTCAAACTAATATCATGTAATTTACGTCTCTATGATGATTGGTTAATATCAGAAGGGAGGCTAGCCTCCCTTGTGAGGTTTCTTTTCTCAACACTCCTCAGCGCTGAAAGTGAACACTCGATGGTGATTGGCTAATTTTTTTTTTACCAACGGAGGCACGAGAGCTCCGCGCTCCCCTGGCCTCCCCCTCCCCTTCTAATTACATCAGCAGATTCGGCACATTCGCGATAGAAAAGCGGCGCTTTCACGTTATGGTATTACAACTGTGAAATTACAAACAAAAAATACACATTCTGAGACATGAACTGAAATGAATTGTGAATTTTATTAACATTAAATCGTCCACCTCCCATTTTCACCTTAAAATTATGCCTCCCCCGACGAGCCGCCACTTATATCGCGATTGAGAATGGGACACTCTACTCTTAATAAATCACCCCAGATGATAGGAAGACATGAATCTGGTCAATGTAATCATTGTGGACTTCCAGAAACTGTAGAGCATGTGCTGATTAACTGTAGGGCATATGAAAGGGAAAGAATACAGTTAAAAGAGGAATTAAAATCGGCCGGCATTAATTCTATGACATTACAGAATGTGTTAAACAGTTCTCATAAAGGTTATAAAGCTCTTATTAATTTTCTGAAAATAACAAATTTATATAAAATATAGGTAGAAGTTTAATTTTTTTTTTTTTTTTTTAGTTATGTATTTATTTATTTTAAAAAAATAATTTTAATTTTATTATTTATTTTGTTTGTTTTTTTAATTAGCATTTCCCTTGATATCATCGCCTCACACTCCATCCCAGTAGGTGGCGGAATATCCACCAAAAGCTGGTTTGCCAACCGCCATTAAACATCATAAGAAGAAGAAGAAGAAGCCAACCGCCATTAAACATCATAAGAAGAAGAAGAAGAAGAAGAAGAAGACAACGTCTCCCGCGTATTTTGACTGTTGTTGTCGTCTTTTTCGCATTAGAAGAAGTGAGATTTTTTTATACTGCAGGTTTGTTTTATTATTATCAGAAGATTTAAAAAGATGGCAAGTCTCAGTCAGGAACTGAAGCGCTGGGCTGTTGAGGAACTTGAGTTGCCAGCAGCCAGACTGCCGGATGACGGCTATATAAAGACGTTAGTGAGTTATGAATTATAGCATTAATCCTCACCAACGATTTTAGATTGATCGTTTACGTTTTATCTAGGTTGTGTGTCGGTCCTGGAGCTTCCATTTGGAAATATATCACGCAACATATTTATAAGGAAAGGTGAGCTCTCAAGGTTTTACAATCTCGAATGCTTACTACGTTTTCTTCAATGCACTTTTTCTGATTATACAATATTCCTTTGACATATAACTTATCTTACAGGAACGTTCGTGTGATGAGGGGGAATATTCAGTGGTATCCTTTAAGTTTTCTGACAATGTGGTGTGTTAATATGCATATACTGTATGTGTATATTTTGTGCAGGGCTTTTATCGCTGATTAAGCTAAAAGTATTACATTTGTTTTCGTTAATTAGATTGATGCTGAAAAATGTTTGATTTGAAGTAAAAGAAAGCTGAAGTCGAAGTACTAAAATGACTGAAATGGAAATAAATGGAAATGTTTTATATAACAAATACTAAATTTGAAATAAATACTGATAATATATAAACAAAAATAAATCATATAATCGTATATTAATAATATTAAAATAACACTGATTTTGTGACACATAAAACATGAAATATGGTTGTTTCATGAGACCCAACACAATTTATATATTTTTACTGTATGTCATGTCAAAATTTTGAAAATTAAGCTGCTACTTTATTACTTGCTAAATTGTGGTTGTGTGAGCTGTGGAATTGTTCCTTGACCATCTAAATCCTAAGGTACAAAGTTTTACAAGATAAAGAGGTAAAGAAAAGTACTTAATTGCAATTTGTTATGCTGCTTCTGTAAGGATTGATAAGCGCAGCTAAAGATGATTATTCTTTGTAGCTTAAACAGTTGAAAAATCAGAATAAAGATGCGAGAAGGCTTGAGCTTCAGAGAGAGATTGATGCCCTTCAGACTGAACTCAATCAACTGGACACAAAGATCAGTAGAGTGGAGGATCAACTTGCTACCGAAGGTGAATGTTCCTATTTTATCTTTCTGTTCATCTTTATGCTCTTTTATACTACCTACACCTATACTATAGACTATGTGGGGGGGAAAAGGTTTTAAGTCATCAAAATATTCAAATAGTCTCTGATTACCTTCTTTACTGTTTATTATCTTTTTAAAAAATACATCAGATTATGGAATGGTATTTTATGTTGTTGTTACTAATATCTTATGTTGCTGAGCAGAAAGGAACGTGAACAGGAACTGGGAGGACTTTATGGAAAGCAGGCACAGACAGATCCTGTTAGATTCGTTCAGGCAGCGCTGCTCTGAGGAGAGAAACGTACTGTTAGAGGACACACACGTGATTGGCACTCAGCGGCATGCCCTGGAAGAGCTGTCCAAGTGAGCCACCTTCAGACTGTCATATTTCTATTGCAGCTTAGACTGATTAGACAATGTGTTAAAGCTGCTGTGTGCCATATTCTGATGCTGTGTGCCATATTCTGATGCTGTGTGCATCTTTGCTGAGTAAAAGCATTAATATTCATATATGACTCAAACCTGTAAATCACATTATTTTTCTAATTGTCCAGGAAAGCAGAGGTGAAGCTGGTGTTTGGGCCGTCTGGCAGTTCAGACAGTGAAGCCGGAGCAAATCCATTGGTTTTAGTTAGTATTGCTGTATTTAATGGTGTTTGTGATGCACACTATAATATTATAATTATAGCTGCTTTTTAGCTTCTTATCATTGCTGATGTCAGTTTTAATTCTGAAATTCAAAAATTCTACTTCTGAATGTCGTTCATTTGAGAAAGCTAGGTGGTGTAGTTACAAAATCTTTAACTAAACTTTCATTGATCTTTCACTTGGGGCCTAATTGGATGATTTTAACCAATCAAACTCCAACTGACCACTTGATTAAAGCACTTGTCTTTCCACTGATTGTAACTCATGAAACACCATTTCTATCTCATTTCAGAAAGATGTGAGAGAGCTCTGCAGCGAGAGGGTTCTCTTCTTCCAGGGCCTGCTACAGAGTGAACTAAACGTGAATCAGTCCGCTGAGTAAGACGCACAGGCCTTTGATGCTGATATTGTAGATGGAAGCACTTTTGCCTTGTTGATGCTAATTCATTTGTTTTTCATCCAGATTTACTCATGAACAAAGGAAAGCAGTGATCCAGCACTGGACGAGTGAAGTGGAGGTAGATGAAGACACTCATTTGAGGAGGATGCATGTTTGTTATGTGTCTGCATTCATTTAGTTCTGCACAACAACAGCTTATGAGAACCTCAATATGTTTAATTTTCAGAATGTTCTACGCTCTCATCCTCCAAACCAAGTTCTTTCAGCTCTGCAAGCCTTGACCTCCAGACAGCAGGTGGCATTAGAAGAGAAGATTGCAGCTTTGAATGTGGAGCGTGATGTTTCGGATCTAGGGTATGTTTTTACATTATAATGTATGTTATCAAAACCCACTCTATAAATAATGATGTTATTGAATCAATTATTGCTTATTACTCAGGCATTTGCACTTAATGCAGGTTTCGTTATGAGAGCGATCACCTAATAGATGTGTCGGCTGAGCAGAAAGAGGAGTTAACACCTGTCCGCAGTCTGTTACAGGTGATAATTTGAGATGGTAATCTTACTGCATTTTACACACTTTCTCTTGTGGCTCAGATTGTATTTGTGTGTTTGCACACAGTCTGCTTGGGAGGAGGTGGAGCAGAGTTATTTTGAACTGGCACAGACTCGCAACAGATGTGGGCAGCTAGAGACCGAACTCACGGCTGTGATGAGAAAAGCAGAGACGGCACACGGATCAGACCCAGTGTCCAGGTGGAAATTATTATATTTACTTTTGAACTTGTAAAGTCAATAAATATTACTTTTTATAATTACTTGCTAGATAAGATGAACTGCCTTTTTTATTATTTTGTACTGTTCTCTGAGGACCACTTATAATGTTATCAAGATTTTTACATAAAAAAATCATAATTTAGAAGTAATAGGCTATGTTCTGTCCTGTTTTGACCCCCCTCTTCAGAACGCTCTGTTTGAATAGGCGTGGCGGATTATATATCAAAAGATCAAGGGAATTTTGATTTCTTAGTTCAAATGATGTTGCTAAAAAGGACATTGTTGTGTATTTGGTGTAATGAAATGTGTTTATGAGGTTTAAGGTTAAAAAAAACACATTATTTTCCACATACTGTACATTATTGATGCTGCTCTATGCCCCGCCTTTCTGAAACGCGTCGATGTTTACAAAGCTCATCGGTCTGAAAAGCGAGGTGTGCTCTGATTGGCCAGCTATTCAGTGCGTTGTGATTGGCCGAATCCCTCAAGCGTGTGATGGAAATGTTACGCCCCTTACCATACTGTGATGCCCTGTCCGGCCGGAGCGACGAGACAAAAACATTTAAAACCCCATTATAAACGAGGCATTTGTTGCATCCAGTGGGGACATAATTACGGATTATAATGACTTGTACTGTCTTTTTACGCATTGCATCGCGCCGTGTAAACTTAAAACCACGTCTGCATTTGTGATCGGAGAATGATGATTCAAACTTGTGTTTGAATCGTCAGTGGCAAATCTTTTAAATATAAAAAACTTACTTACAGTCTGTGAGTCAGAACAGCCGGCATTGTAGTCTACTCTTCCAGGATCAGGAAACAGTTCTCCATAAAATGTGCTGCACACATCTGAATATTTGGGTTGAACTGTTCTGGAACAGTGTTGTAAATACAACTGATTTCTAGTTGTGTCCTCTTTTGGAAGGCCAAACAAAGTAGTTTCGCTTTCACAATGAAACACAGTGTCACACGCGGCGGCCTAGAGTGAGGAACGGCTGGCGGGCTAGAGTGAGAGGAGGTCAGTGAGCTTGAGAACGGCCGGCGGATTCGACGAAGGAGCGTCCGGAGGGCTTGCGGCATCCACATGTGATGACCCCGGGCTGGACTCCGCTTCGTCCACAGTGAAAGCCGATTCGGCGATCCATAGCGCGAAGTTGATGTATTTCCTCAGCGACCAGCACGGATCAGCTCCAGGCATGACGAAGTGGATATCATCCTCTTTTGGAAGACCAAACAAAGTAGTTTCGCTTTCACAACGAAGCACACAGCGCCTTCACGACATGGCGGTGGTGGCAGCAACAATACTACTGCGATAATAAAAGTTACGCCTTCTTTCTTTGCGTGAACATTTGGGCGGTGTTAGGCAAATCTTCCTACATAGCGACGTAGACATGTGGGGGCGTGTTAGAACGAGCCGTTTTAGGTAGGCGTGTTTGACCTAGGGCTGGACGATATGGCCAAAATTTATATCACGATAAATTTCTTAATTTCGGTTGATACGATATAATTCCGATATCGATATGAACACCATTTAAAAAAGCCTTGTAAAAACTGCCAAGAACGCCCACAACAGATGTCTGTGCATACAAACTTATGAAAAATTAATTTGCCAAGTCTATGACACCTCATATAAAACCATATAATACTTTAGGAAAAAAAACAGCACAAATAAATTAATGTTCACCTTTTATTTGTATTTAGCCTTCATACAAACAAGAAATGTGAAATCACTGTCAAATAAACATCTCAGACTCACCTTATTAATTATTAATATCTTCTAACATACCAGTCAAAAGTTTTTGAACAGTAAGATTTTTATTGTTTTTAAAGAATTCTCTTCTGCTCACCAAGCCTGCGTTTATTTGATCCAAAATACAGCAAAAACAGTAACATTTTGAAATAAATAAACTCTCTTTTCTATTTGGAAATATTTTAAAATGCAATTCCTGTGATTTCAAAGCTATATTTTTAGCATCATTACTCCAGTCTTCAGTGTCACATGATCCTTCAGAAATCATTCTAATATGCTGATTTGCTGCTCAAAAATCATTTATTATTGTTGAAAACAGCCGAGTAGAATTTTTTTCAGGTTTTTTTTATGGATAGAAAGTTCAGAAGAACAGCATTTATCTGAAATAGAAATCTTTTGTAACATTATAAATGTCTTTATCATCACTTTTGATCAATTTAAAGCATCCTTGCTAAATAAAAGTATTAATTTCTATAATTTCTTTCCAAAAAAGAAAGAAAGAAATCATACTGACTCCAAGCTTTTGAATGGTATAGTGTATAATGTTACAAAAGCTTTTTATTTCAGATAAATGCTGATCTTTGGATCAGGATAAAGAATATGTTGCTGGAGACGGGCTTATTGAAAATGGAAAAACTGCTTGTCTGCCAGCAGGAGGCGCTGTGAGAGCGGTAGAACTTGCGGTTTCTCCGGTAACGGCTGTAATCAAAGCAGCTCCGCTCATGAACGCTACTTTATCAGATCAAATGAAAATGTCATCGAAACTTTTCTGAAGACAGTCGGTTCCCTTCAGAGATACATTCATATAAAACACCCACGCCACGTTTTGATTTTGAAACGTGCAGTGCTCATTTTTATTCAACGAAGTCAAACGCCACAAATACATCAATGTATGGGAAACTGGTAATGTATATCGAAATATCGGAAATGTGTTTAAAAATCATATCACCGTTATTGAAAAGAATTATATCGCGATACTTATTGATATTGAATTATTGTACAGCCCTAGTTTGACCCTTAACTTTTATAAAGAATATCTCTTTGGATTTGAGACTTTAGTCTTTGCAGCTTTACAGATCTTCTTTATGCACCAAGAGCTTGTAACACTCCAAAGAGAAAGGAAAAATTTAATCGCATCATATGACCTCTTTAAGTGTTATTGGCTTTACTGGAATTCTATTAAAATAGAAAAGTAATTTTAAGCTGTGGTACTTGTATAATAAATTGTATGTAATATTACTGTTTTTATTGCATCTTCTGATTAGATAAATGCAGTGTGTATATATTATATATGTAATATTATTTATATATATATAGTTACTAAAAATAGTATATTAAAAATAATAGTGTATAATGGGAGGTATTTAAAAAAAAAAAAAAAGTTTGTTGTAATACAAATGAGTTTTGTTTTGTTTGTGAGCAGGTGTGTGTTTGAGTTGGAGATGGAGGGAGTAAAGCAGGCAGCAGTCAGAGACCGCATTAGAGAGCAGTGTGCTCAGCTACAGCTGCAGGCCAGAGAGGGGCAGGATGCCATCAGATCCCTGCAGACACAGTGGCAAAGTGTCATGGACTTCAGACAACTTGTGGTGCATAATTGTATTTATTCCTAACAAAAGACTGCAAATTCATAGTCTGGAGTTAAGTGTGTTTTTTTTCTTTGTAGGACAGAAGACAAGAGCAGATACGGCGCCTGATCAAAGGAAACTCCACTGTGAAGACAGAGTTAACCCGTGTCCATGCAGAGGTATCCTGTCATGCAATACGTTCTTTAGTCTTCAGTGTCACATGATCCTTTAGAAATCATTCTAATATGCTGATTTAGTGCTGAAGAAATTTATTTTAAATCGAACACATTTTTGAACGGTAATTTGTGTGAATGTCTGTCCACCAACGTTTACCATCCAACCTGGCAGAACTGGAGAGGATCTGCAAGGAGGGATGGCAGAGGATCCCCAAATCCAGGTGTGACAAACTTGTTGCATCTTTCCCAAAAAGACTCATGGCTTTATTAGATCAAAAGGGTGCTTCTACTAAATACTGAGCAAAGGGTCTGAATACTTAGGACCATGTGATATTTCAGTTTTTCTTTTTTAATAAATTTGCAAAAATGTCAACAATTCTGTGTTTTTCTGTCAATATGGGGTGCTGTGTGTACATTAATGAGGAAAAAAAATTAACTTAAATGATTTTAGCAAATGGCTGCAATATAACAGAGTGAAACATTTAATGGGGTCTGAATACTTTCCGTACCCACTGTATATACAACAAACCTTGTTTATTTTTTTTCCAGGTTGGGCAGTTTGTTCAAGAAAAGCTCAATCCTCAATTTGGCAGTGTGATTAAAGCCAGCAGTGAACTGCGCAACTCTGTGTCGCAAGGGGCCAAGCATTTCAGCTGCGTAGCACTGGCTGCACTCAATCGTAGGGCCATGAAGGGGTCAGCAAATCTACCGAAACCCTTTTTTTCCCTTCAGTGCCTTTTGTACAAGATATCATGGCTAGCATTTTGAGTTGTTTTGCAACACGAAGTCAGAAGCTAAAGTTCTTGAAAGTTTTCTTTGTTAAAATTTGCACATTAATAATATATTATCACCGTATCATTGGGAAAAATGTACTAAATGAATCATTCTCTGAAGCTTCATGCCTGTGCTGTGACCTAGTCTTTTGTTTTTAATCAGCAGAGGGCAGAAATTACCAGCAGCTCAGCTTTCCATCCACCGGATACAGTCCCCAGCTTTCCACAAAATCTGTCAAAGTCTTTCATTTCCCATGTATATGGTGAGATGCTCACTTACAGTCTGTTAATAGTCTTCACTTATTCCTCATCTTTCTGAGAGCCATTTCAGTTAATAGCTCATCAAGCACCCGTTAGTAAGTCCATTGTTTTAACATGCAGAAAGTGTACATTTTCTAATGATTGTTCATATCATATGTAGATTAAATATAGTGGTGGGCAAAATGATTAGAACACTAGTATTTTCGTGCACCGGCTAAAACATGGTTTTAGGTCAGTTATTTCTATATTTTGCTGTGGTGTGTCTGTAGGAAGTATCAGTTTACATTTCGAACATTTATTTTGCCATTAATTGTAATAATCCAGTGAGATTGTGACAACAGCCAGTGCTCCACACAGAGATCTGATCTGATCATCATCCAGTCTGTCTGGAATGACATGAAGAAACAGAACAAACTGAGACCGACTCAATCCAGAAGAACTGTGGCAACGTCTCCAAGATGCTTCGAGAGACCTACTTGCAAAGCTCCCTGAGAAACTGCTCAAGTGCACCTACAGGGCAAAAGCTGCTTTAAACATAAAGGATGGTCACACCAAATGTTGATTTAATTTAGTTAATAGAAGTTAATTAATAAAGATTTATGACATTATTTTTGACAGCATCCTCATTTTACAGCATTTTTACTCAAATGCCTAAAACTTTTAACAGTGCTATAGCTTTGCAGGTAGGTTTCTTGGAGACGTTGCCACAGTTCTTCTGGATTGAGTCTGTCGCAGTTTGTTCTGTTTCTTCGTTCTGTCATTCCAGACAGACTGGATGATGATCAGATCAGATCTCTGTGTGGAGCACTGGCTGTTGTCAAAATATCACTGGATTATTACAATTAATGGCAAAATAAATGTTTGGAAATGTAAACTGATACTTCCTACTGACACACCACAGCAAAAGATAGAAATAACTGACTCAAAACCATTTTTAAGTTGGTGAAAATACTAGTGCTCTAATCATTTTGGCCACCACTGTATGTTCGTCACAGATCGACAGTATCCATATCGAGCTTTTTTTTTTTTTTTTACCTGAAATGAAGAAAAAACTGATGGTTGGAGTCTCATCTTTCTTTGCCAGGCTCCAGAAGAGTTGTGGTCTCAAGCTGTAGTTTTAAGGCTGGAGTTAAGACATCTGCGCAGGCTTCTTCAGCTTTTCTCAGAGTCATCAGCAGACCTGCAGAAGCTGACTGCACGGCTACCATCGCCTGATCAGCAGAGTATGTCATTAAGGCAATTTTTTTTAAAACTTCGAGCACTCTTTTTGACCTAGTGTTTCCCCCCGAATGAAAGATTTTGTGAGTGGTAAGAGCCTAGATTCCATGGTGTTTTGATGTCTGTTTCAGCTTTGGTACAGCGTGTGAAGATGGTAGATGATGAGATTCTGCAGACGTTGCTCCCACGGGCCCGTGAGCTCACACAGAGGTGCTCAAAAGGCCTGCTTTACACAGACCAAGTGAAGACTGCCATCACACACTGGTAATACTCTCAAATGTTTCCAACATGGGTCCTTTGTGGAATAGTCAAGTCACCTTTTTTATAGCGCTTTATACAATAGAGATTGTTTCAAAGCAGCTTCACAGTATTAAACAGAATCAATGATGCAAACTTCAAAAATGAGATGTAGTTTGTAACTAACAGCTAAGACATCAATACTGATCCCAAACTGTTTAAACTGATTTTAATCAAATTTAACACGATTTGATTGTGTCTGTGTGCAGGTGGGAGCAGCCTGGACAGTTTGCCCTTCCAGAGATGCAAAGAGAGGGACTGACTTTCCAACAGTGGCTTCAACGATGGAAACTGGCAACAAAGGAATCCTAACTTAGTTTTGCATTTGAGAGCAAAATTTATGTTGGAGAACGTTTTCTGTACATAATTTATATTTCACGTTCTTTCAATTTACTCTTACTTTGCGTTCAAAATAACCTGGGATTTAATAGGCTAACCTAGGATTTCTTAGTTATTAACTTTTCTGCAACAGATTCAGTTTGTGTTTGAGGATACATCCTGTTCAAGAAATATTTTATGCACCTTGTTCTGGATTTCTCAATAAATAATCTAACAAACTGGAATAAAGGTGCAGTTGTATGTCTTCTCTTTTGTGGCATCGTAAATCTCCCTACTGAAGGTTACTAAGATGCAAAATGCATGTGCTGTTGCCAGTGTTGGTTGCAATGTAGTACAATATGCTCTTGTAGGAGCTTGTGTAATGAGACTGTTTATGAAATTCCCTGGTAACAGTAGTGGTACTTCTAGGAGTGTAAAATAGGAATGTTCAGTCATGTGAACAGTAAAATGTCAGGCTGTGTTTTCAGACTGTAAGGAAACTAACAGTTCAAAAGTCCGGGGTAATGTTTTTGAAAGAAACCTCACCAAGGTTGCATTTTTAAATTTTTTTTATAAAAAATACAGTAAAACGATAATATTGTGAAATGCTAATAACTCAAGAAACTTGCATTATGATTGTAGAAAACTGTTGGGCTGCTTGTTTTGTGGAAATTGTGATGCTTTTTTCAGAATTCTTTGATAATTAGGAAGTTGAAAAGATGAGTATTTGAATTTGTTGTACCAGTGTAAAAGTCTTACTGTTAATTTTGATCAATTTAATCCATTGTTGCTGAATGCATGTCTGACCTCATTTATGTGAGTAATTTATAGTAATTTCTGTGACATAAAAATGGCATTGCTTTAATACGATAATAGTCTTACAAACTGTTTATCTAAAGACAGCAAAATACAGCCACAAGAAAGGAGCAGGGTAATTAGCAGGACTTGCCATTTAGATAAAGACAACTAAAAAATAGACAACAAAGCAGACTTTTTCAGGGTGCTTTATAATACTCGATATCAATTTTAAGCAACTGAAGTTAAAAACTGAATTTTCTTTCATTTACATTTTTTCACCCTCACAATCAAAAGATCACGCATTAGAATGCTTACAAATGATTCCAGAGGCAGCTGTCACAATGGCTAAATTTTTCTTTACACCCTGATTCAATGGCATTGTTTCTGGCTTAAGGCTTGGATAATGTCATACATAGACACTTCTCTGTAACCAAAAACAATCACACATAAAATCATGAACTGAACTGTACACATAAAAGTAAACATAACACTTGAACTTAAAATGAAATGTCAGGAAACGTCAGATCTCTGCCTTTTTTATGTCCAGTCTACTGCAAGTGATTGATGACATAGATATGTTATAAAGACTCAATCTGCTTTAGCAGCCCAATTATCGTATTCTGGTGAAGAGGTTTAAAACCGACACAGATTCCTGAAAGACAAAAAAAAAAAGATAATTAAATTGAGGACATGAACTTGAGGAAAAGCCAGTATTTCACAAAAAAAAACAAAAAAACAACCTTACCTTTGTTGATCGTGTTTTACTAAATACATTCCAAAAACGCAGAGTTTCATCACCTGCACCAGTCACTATTGCCTCTCCATCGGGAGACATTGCCTTTAAGATAAAAATATCAGTAAACTGCATTCAGAAATACTATTAAAATAAGAGTCAATTGTTAAAATAAAACAACAGAAGTTAAGGTACTAACCAGATAGAGCACCCTATACGAGTGGCCAGTCAATTTGGCTACTTGAGTAAGTGAGGGGTATTTCCACACGAGGATCTGATTCTGAGAGTAACCGTGTGTGCTGACCTGGAGACAATGGAGACACCATCATGCCTATTAGTCTATAACCAACCATAGACATCAACACTAAGCATTTGGTCAGTTGATCAGAATAAATGTACCAGTTCGTTGGTGTGTTTGGACCAGGCCAGGTTGCAGACTTGTGAGCCTGTGTCGATACACTGCAGTGGCTGCGCTGTGAGAGTGTTCCAGAAGCGGATGCAGCGGTCTGCCGTTCCCCCTCCGGAGGCCAGCAGCCCGTGTTGGTGAGGAGACCAGGCTATGGCCTTCACTGCGGCCAGGTGTTCTGTGTACTGCTGCATCGGTAACACGCTCGAGTGATTCCACACTAACAGCTGCACAATCAATCACAGGAATGCTTTTAGAGAGATGCAGTCACCCAAAAATTTTTTGTGCTAATATATTGTACATTTTGTAAATTATATACAGCAGTCAGGTCACCTTGTTGTCATTTCCTCCGGAAGCCAGCAGCTGATGGTCAGTGCTCCACTTGAGTCCGCAGACCTCTTGTCTATGACCCTGCAGCCTGCGCTCTGACTGCAGAGGGGGCGTCCTGATATCTCTCTGAAGGATCATGCGGTCCCGGCTGCCTGATGACAGCTGATCTGCATTCCAGGCCAGTGCACCTGAGGGCAGAATTCTCAGTTTTCATAACATGTTTAACATACATTTCACTAGAATGGGAAGCACAACAGAAAGTAAATGTCAAAAATGAACTATAAATCAGTCCGAGCAAGAGTAAACATGTTTGGGGACAGTAATATTTCTTTGAAAGTCAAGATTTAAAAGAACTACTTTTTTTGGTTGAATATATTTTAATATGTTATTTATTCCTGTGATGGCAAAAGTCGAATTTTAAGCAGCCATTACTCCAGTCTTTAGTGTCACATGATCCTTCATTCTAAGATGCTGATTTGGTACTCTAGAAACATTCTTATTACCAGTTTTGCTGCTTAATATTTTAGTGGAAACCATGATACTTTTCAGGATTTACTTAAAAAAAAAAAAAACGATGAAAAGAGCAATTAATTTGAAATACATTTTTAGGTCTGTAATGTCACTTTTTATAAAGGTTTTTAATGTCATTTTGTCAATTTACTGTATACCTGCTAAATAAAATTATAAATTAAAAACTGGGTTACACTTTTTTTTCATAGTGTCCTTGTTACAGTGTAAGTATACATGTAAGTACTGAGTAATATTAATTAACTACATGTACTTACTATATAGTTAGTATTAGGATTTGGCTTAGGGATACTTGCATGTAATGATGCATAATTTATTGTTATTATAATAGTAAGTAAGTACATGTAACAAGGACACCATAAAATAAAGTGTTGACCAGTGAATTTCAATGTTTTTCTATAATTTTCCATAAGGTTTATTTTTTTAATTCTTACCAACTCTTGCTGTGTGTCCCTCCAAGGCAAACAGCTTTTTGCCGGCGGTAGCGTCCCAAATTTGTACAAAGCCTTTGTGTGTACCCACAGCGACAAGATTGCCCTATGAGAGAAGAACGATCAGACCACAAAACCAGAAAGCAACTTCTGATAGTCCAAGTCATAAAGGTTAACTCACTCTCTCCGACCAGCCCACCGATGTGACTGAATCGCCCTCCACTGATAGGTCACATAGTCGTGTTACCTGCGGACAAAGCAAAGAAAAAACACACAACTTAGTCCAAGTGTTCACTAGGTTTTTACTGCCTCTAAATTTGTATAAACAGCTAATGCATACTTGACTGGTGCAGGCACTCCAAAGGTAAACACAAGTCCCCAGTCCAACACTGAGCACATTTAAAGAAGACCAGTCCACTAAGTTGAGGTAGAAGTCGTCTTGTAGCTCTGGTGCATCTAGCACCTTAAAAGGAATCTTGGAAATTTTGCGCGTAGGTTTTCTTGGCGACCGCAGAAGCTTCTGGCTATATACAAAAACATGCATGCAATTAAAACAATGCATTTTACTAATCAATCCCATTTTTCAGGAGACGACTCAACTTACCTTTTGCTGCTAACAGGGGAGAGGGAGTACGGGGAAACACTGTTATCATCGGGTGTGGATCTTTTGGCACTGAGTGAATACTGTACATACAAACACAAAGCAAGCACTAAAAACACAGATCAAAACACTTATGTGGCATCAAATGAACAGATCAGCGGATAAGAGAGACTTACACTAAAGAGGCTCCTCCTCTCGGGTGTGGAGGGCTGTAGTCGTCTATCTTCTGTTTGAGGATCCAGAACCTTCTCAATCCCAGCCCCAAGCAACTCATTCTTCAGCAGGGCAGAATACGCCAAGCCGTCCGCTGTCAGACAACACAGTAAACAAGGGAAATTATTACAACGAAAGAGAGTTGAGTATCATATTTGAGAATATGATCCATCAAAAATGAGGTTCATTTAAACCATAGTCTGTCTCTCTCCATAAAAAAGATACCATAACAGCTTTATTAATGCAGGTAAAATCAACACAATCCTCTTCACACTCACCTTTGCCAGTATCTGATGTTGCGTCTTTGGTTTTTTTATTCTGGCTTGGTGACTTTTCATTTTCCTGTAATAAGAGCAAAGAAAAATGAACTTGACATTAAAAATTCCTTTAATTCAAATCAAATGGAAGCAACGTGGAGGGCTCCATTACTAGTATTTAAAAAAAATACAAATATTCCACCCACATTTATTCTGTGGAAGTTGATGCTCCAGTTAGCTCCAGCTCGAGACGGTATGAATCTGTCACCATGCTTGCTTGGTGATGACAGCGGCGACTCTGGGGTGGGGGTCAGGTGACAGATCACATCTCTTACTTTCTGTATACAAAAAATAAGGAATCAGATCAAATGAATAGTCTGAAGTGGATGGGTTTAAAAACATTTAAATTGCACAAATAAAATGAACACAATTTCAAGTCTGCAATATTCAACAGCACAGACTCACCATGGGGCTGGTGTTGTCATTCTGGACGTTGATCTGCCGCAGTAACCGGCGCTCATAGTCCTGATCCATGGATGTGATTCAGAAATGTGGGAATGTGGAGATCCAGGAGCACGGTGCCTAAAATGCATGCATGGAAGCAACCATTTTTAATGGGCGAAACATTATTTTATGAGAAGGCTACAACGATGCAGCTATTGTTAAAGGTATAAACTTTTAGGTGGCTTTCATTTGTTGTCTGGTTAAGGAGGCAGAAAGCTGCAAGGCTCGTCAGCAGATGCCATCTGTTCAATACCACATAAGCAGGTGTTAGAGAACAGCTGCTCAAGTCGACATCTTCCAAATAATAGCAACATAGAGACAAGAATATGCTGGACTGCATTTCCCAATTCATGACAATTTAATAAAAGACCTTAAATGCATTCGTTTGGTGGCCTAAGCAAACAACGACAGCATATCTCACGGTACACACTTAACATTATTTTATGAGAAGGCTACAACGATGCAGCTATTGTTAAAGGTATAAACTTTTAGGTGGCTTTCATTTGTTGTCTGGTTAAGGAGGCAGAAAGCTGCAAGGCTCGTCAGCAGATGCCATCTGTTCAATACCCCATAAGCAGGTGTTAGAGAACAGCTGCTCAAGTCGACATCTTCCAAATAATAGCAACATAGAGACAAGAATATGCTGGACTGCATTTCCCAATTCATGACAATTTAATAAAAGACCTTAAATGCATTCGTTTGGTGGCCTAAGCAAACAACGACAGCATATCTCACGGTACACACTTTTTTATTGCGGATTAAAGACGTTAAATGCTTCTTTACTAACAGGAAACGTTAAGACAAAATATCAATGTAATGCCAGAAAGCAATTAACACACAATTAAGTTACTCTCAGTCCTGAATGAAGAGATACTGCATTCCTTTGTCAACACGGCTAACTATTAACACCAGTGTTCGTTTATGGAAAATCATTTCATCGATATAACGTTATATCAGCTGAATAAAAGCTGTCTAAATGTACGTATTAATAAAACAACAGTATTGTCCTGCACTGATAATTAGCATCTTGTTTGGTGTTTCACAATGGATTACCGAGAGGCTAGTTAGGCTAATCTGAATCATCGGACCTACCTTGACAACGATATTCGGTGAATTTATAATCTGATCAACAGAACCTTATCCAAAACAAACACATCGAGTGTAAACCTTGAAAAAAATGAGAATATGTTGATAATGGATATAAGTTACGCTGCTCCGATGTTGTTTGCCAATCGAGGCTGTTGTTATCGACGGCACCGCAAGGAATCATGGGACTGAGTTAAACGTTGACGTCGCGACATTTGAAACAAAACAAAAATGTTATGTTTTTAAAAGGGAAAAGACAAACTTCTATTTTTTTTGTACGGAGAATAATACTATCAAGAATTTGGTTAAAAAAGTGCATACTATATATTATGGAAAATATTGTGCATTTAATTTTTACATTTAGTTAAAATAGTAATACTATATCCAAAATGTTGATTAAAAGACTAACAAGTACATAGCGTAAATAAATAAATACTTGCGTAATTATTCTTACATTTAATTATACTTAAGTGTTTTGACGTAAAAAAAAAAAAAAGCAAGAGACAGTCGTGATTCTCCCATTTTAGTATGTAGATGCAGAAAATTGGTAAAGAATACGCTACTTACACTAAACATATATTTGGCTGTTTAATTCAAAGAAAATTTAAACTTATATGAGCATGGTTGATTGAAATGTTAGTTTGTAAATCATTAACAAAAGTTTAAGTTGTGATTACTGATGTATTTTGTCTCTAAATATTGAAATAGAGTAAAATATGTTTTGTTGTTGTTGCCCTTATAAATGTAACTGAGTAATAGTACACGTATTATGTTTTAACAGAACCTAAATAAAGCACAAATTCCCCAAAATAATATCTAAGTGTATAGTAGTGAAGTAACTACTACTACTCAAATACTTTACATTTCTTACTTCTTTATACAAAAAAGAGGAAATAGATAAGAGGAGCAAAGAGATAAGAGAAGAGATGCCACGTACATCAAATGGTAAATTATTGAAAGCCATTGAGTCAGTCCTGATGTATTTTGTCTCTAAATATTGAAATAGAGTAAAATATGTTTTGTTGTTGTTGCCCTTATAAATGTAACTGAGTAATAGTACACGTATTATGTTTTAACAGAACCTAAATAAAGCACAAATTCCCCAAAATAATATCTAAGTGTATAGTAGTGAAGTAACTACTACTACTCAAATACTTTACATTTCTTACTTCTTTATACAAAAAAGAGGAAATAGATAAGAGGAGCAAAGAGATAAGAGAAGAGATGAGATGCCACGTACATCAAATGGTAAATTATTGAAAGCCATTGAGTCAGTTATAAAACTATATTATATTTATATTTTCTTTTCCATTGCTCTAAAACAAACCTTTATTTTGACAAGAACACAGGAGACCGGAAGTGGCCATCCTTAGCGCACCGCAGTACATGGCCGTCTTGGGAGCATGTTTGTTGTGCTTAGGGATACTTGCATGTAATGATGCATAATTTATTGTAAGAATTCTCTATTTGATGATGAACAAATATCACTAAATCACAAAAACAATACACTTCACTGTGTAAGCTAGAGTGTGTATTACCTCACGTCGCACAAAATGCCACGTTCATACTTGAAAACAGACGAGGCGAGAGATGCTACAGAGATGAAATATTTACTCGCATCCAAAATTAGGAGGCGAAAAGAAGAAATTCATAACTACATACTAGAAAGGCGAGCTGAAATTCACAAACGAATCAGATACCGAAGGCATCTTTTCCTCAATTACCGGAGCACGAGAACGGTAAATGTGTTATTTCTGTATATGTTTACTAAGCATTTCTAAGACACGGTAATGAGAAGAGTGTGCATATTAGTCCAGTCACTTTTATTTACATAGCGCTTTATACTATACAGATGCTTTCAAAGCAGCTTCGCAGTTATAAACAGGAAAATATCAGAATCAACGATGCAGACTAGTATCAGTGCAGTCAATACATAATAATAAGTAAAGAGACTTAATTCCTTATTGAATTGATGCCAGTCTGCATTCATGCAGTACGTTTTTTTCTTCTTCTGTCAATGTTTTAGATACCATCACCAGATGAAGAAGACCTGCAAAGTCATGTCCCAATCCTTGCAGACCCAGACTGGTGGGAGAGAGTTGTGATGACAGAGTTTGGACCAGAGGACTGGCTTGACAAGTTCCACGTCACAAGAGACATCTTCCTTCTTCTGAGCGCTAAACTCAAGCCTCAGCTCGAGCAAGTGTATATAGAACAAAGTGGACAGACCATTACACTGGAGAGATGTATTGCCATGGCCTTAATGCGTTTGTCCACCAGCACAGAATACTGCTTTTTAAGTGAACTCTTCGGTGTGCCCATCCCAGCTGTGTGTCAGTGTGTACGAGAGGTATGTGAAGCCATCATTTTGTTACTAAAACCCCTCTACATGCAGTTACCCGCAGATCATGAACTTGAAGAACATGCGGAGCAGTTTCGTACTCTGTGGGGTTTTCCTCACTGCATTGGTGTCATCGACTCCCTTCACATCCCTGTTAAATCGCCCTCCACGGACACTCAGGATTGCTGGAACCAGAGAGGATGGCACTCTGTGGTGCTTCAGGGTGTGGTAAACGCACAAGGTACTTTCTGGGACGTTTGTTCTGGTTTTACAGGCAGCATGGATGACATGACCATCTTGCAGAGCTCAGAGCTGTGGACAATGGCAGAACAGGGAGGCTTCTGCTCTCAGCCACCCAAAGAACTGATGGGTCTACCGTTGGGATTTCTGCTGCTGGGGGATGTGGGTTATTCGCTTCAGACCTGGCTACTGAAGTGCTATCCTCCGTTGTCAAATCTAACACCGCAACAGCAAACCTTCAACGTCCAGCTGAACCATGGTCTTAAAGTCATCGAGAATACCTTCCAGCGTCTTAAAGCACGATGGCAGTGTCTGCACAACAGAAATGACAGCAATGTAGACTTGGTATCCAAGATGGCTGTAGCTTGCTGTATCTTGCACAATATCTGTAATGTGCATAACAGTCCGTTTAAAGAGGAGTGGGTTGAAGTACTCAGTCAGAATGAATGTCCACAGCCCACAGACGTGCCTACGGTCTATATAGATGATCCAAATGCAGAGGCAGTTCGTTCTCTGCTCTGTAGCTATTTTGATCCATTTCCAACAAGCAGCCCGGTTCTGCCTGTACCTGAGCCTCCTCAAATGGACAGTGCTGGAACAGGATAGTTTGTGTATTGATTGATCATTACAGTGGGTTTATAGCTGCCATTTAATACTTTGAAAATAAACTTTGTGTGTAAAAGTGTGTAAATTGATTGTATTTAAATCCTAGTCTTGTAATATATGACTCTAAGATTATCTGTTTTATTATTTTTCTATAAATGAGTGACTTTTAAATCATTTGACTTGTTACGTTTTATTTGGCGTCTAATGTATCAATATTGTGTAAATGTTAAGTTCAAGTGATTTTCTGTTTTTGTTGAAATAAATAAAAATACTTATGGCAGTTTAATGTGTTTTTGTGATTTCTAAAAATTACTTAAAACCCCCAAAATCATAATTTATTCACGTCATGTTGTTTCCGAACTCTTATGAGTCCTCGAGTTAAAAAGGTTGATAACCGCAGTTTGTTTACAAATTTTAGAACGGTTTCAGTCCAATCCAGTAGGTGGCGCTCTACATATACGAACAATTCGAAATCTAGCTACTGGATGACACGAGTGAGACAGTTCCTTCTTGAGTGGACGGCATGGAGAGCACTGTATGACTGAAAAAACAACATCTCCGCTTGTAGTAAGTTCAATATTCAGATAATTCAGCGACTGTAACGAATCAGATTGTGAACTCGGTTAGCGTCATTCTGTCTTAACTCCGTAATGTTTTCAAACCCGTCATTCTGCCGGCTGCATAACACACTTACACACAGCTGACAGAGAGACGCGTGTGTACTGCTGGCACAGAGATGGCAATGTCCAGGCCTTTTCTTCCATAGTGCAACACCGCGACTCTTTAAAACCATATTGACCTGTCTTTCTAGACGATAGTACTATATTATAGAACGAGCACAGAAAGTAGCAAAAATGTGTACAATTGAACATACTGAATGAGTAATCTTTTTCTGACGCATGCATCATCATGTATGTGTAACGTAATAGATATCCGAGGCAAAAATTCCCGTTCTCTACCTGTCTTGTCCACACTGACACAGCTACTCAGATATTGTAGAGAAAAGTCTCTTGGCATTACTATGGTAACCGATGTTGCCAACCATTCGTGAATGATTCGGATCTTTTCAGTGAATCGGTTGCACCGCTTCTCAAAACCAGTCTGAACGATTCGTTTACGTACCGTCTCTTTCCATTATTCTTTACATTCCAAAAAACTCATTCTGAAAATATAAAGCAATACGCAAATTTCTGCCATACATTTTGATTGTCTGTTAATATAAGCTTCTAAATTCTTAAAAATAATCTTGAGTAAATCAGGATCTCATCATAAAGTAAAAGAATTGCTTTGAATTGGTTCATTAAAAACCGATTTGCAGTAATGAGACTAGTAACCAATATATTGGATATTGATTTCCCCTATTCAAACAGTTGACAAGCAAAACGGTAAGTCCTAAAAATTGGATTTGTTTGTAGTCTATGAAGGCCAAAAACGTAAAGGGGTCATATGATGCTTTTTTAAAGATCATTATTTTGTGTATTTGGCGTAACAGAATATGTTGACATGCTTTAATGTTAAAAAAACACATAATTTTTCAAATACTGTACATTATTGTAGGTCTTCTATGCCCGCCTCTCTCAAATGCTTCGTTTTCTACAAAGTCCCTCCTTCCGACAAGCGCAGTCTGCTCTGATTGGCCAGCTGACCCAGTGCATTGTGATTGGCCGAACACCGCAAGAACTAGTCGGAAATGTAATGCCCCTTACCATAATCATGAGCTTCATCTTCTAAAATAAATGTAAAGACAGCCCGAAAGGGGAACAGAGTCGAGTGACAGACACAGTGATGAAGCTGGTATGTGTTTGCAGTACACAAGCCATGGTTAAGACAGCTGACTCCACTGTGATGTGACCCCCCTCCCTATCTCTCTCGCTCTGTCTCTCTCTCGCGTAAAGAATATCTCTTTGGTTTTGAGACTTTAGTCTTTGCAACTTCAGGGATCTTATCTATGCACAATCAGCTTGTAACACTTCAAAGAGAAAGGAAAACTTGAAATTGCATCATATGACCCCTTTAAGTATAACATACTTAGTTATTATGAAGCATGTGGTCAAACTTTTGTTGTTTGTAAATGTAGGTTCTGTATATATGCTTCTCTCTGGAGTACTCAGTTTAACCTGTGCATAAGGACATCATCCTGATACTGAAAGCTTCCTCATGGCAAATCATGTGGATATATCAGCGGTGGGGAGGATTCTCGTCAACCCAAAGCAGGACCTGACAAAGCGCTTTAGAGCACTTTTTACTCTCCGCAACCTTGGTGGACCAGAGGCCATTACATGGATCAGTGAAGCTTTTGTGGATGAATCTGCACTTCTGAAGCATGAGCTAGCATACTGCCTCGGCCAAATGCAAGACGAGCGGGCCATTCCTATCCTGGAGACAGTCCTGAAAGACACTAATCAAGAGCCAATGGTCAGACATGAAGCAGGTGAGATGTACAGTCATATTCTTCCTTCTTATTTTCCTTTTTTTTGTTTTTAGGTATGTCATATACAGTGTTTTTATTATATTGTAAATTCCAGGAGAAGCACTGGGAGCCATTGGAAATCCCAAAGTCTTAGATTTATTGAAGAAATATGCAGAAGATCCAGTAATTGAGGTACAGTCAACCCGTATCACCAAACTATTCACCCATTCATTGTTACACTAACGCTAGAATGTCCTGCTGTGCATTTCGATTATGCTCAAAGTTCAGGTTTTACATGAATTCTCTCTTTGTACAGGTGGCAGAAACATGTCAGCTGGCAGTCCAGAGGATGGAGTGGCTCATGAATGATGGGGAAAAGACAGCAGAGGGGACAGATGAGAACCCCTACTGCTCCGTAGACCCCGCACCCCCTGCCCCAAGAAAAACTGTCCCGGAACTGAGGGCACAGCTCTTAAACGAAAGCCTGTCGCTGTTTGACCGCTATAGAGCTATGTTTGCACTGAGGAATCTTGGGACTGAAGAGGCTGTTCTGGCTCTTGGAGATGGTGAGAAATATTTAAATTGAGATCTATCCAAACACGATGTAGACGCAATACTAGATCACAAAATAACGTAAATAACAATGCATGTATTTGATCAAAAAAATACAGTAAAAGCAGTAGAATTGTGAAGTATTATTACAATTTAAATGAACTGTTTATGAACTTTTAATTTATTTTAAAATGCGATTTATTGCTGAGATGGCGAAGCTACATTTTCTGTTGAATTTACTTCAGTCAGTGTTACATGATCATTCAGAAATCATTCTAATATGCTGATTTGTTGCTCAAGAAATATTTTTTTTATATTATGAGTATTATAAGTACTGCCATGCGTCATCAATTTAATGCATCCTTCTTAAATAAAGATATTGTTTTCTTTAAAAATTTCTTTTAGGTCTTCAGTGCAGCAGTGCCTTGTTCCGCCATGAGATCGGCTACGTCTTGGGTCAGATCCAGCACGAGGCCAGCATCCCTCAGCTGCAGGCAGCTTTGGAGAAGACCGATGAGAACGCCATGGTCAGGCATGAGTGCGCAGAAGCACTGGGCTCCATCGGGAAGGAGGCGTGCTTACAGATCCTAGAGCGCTACAGGAAGGACCAGGAGCGGGTGGTGAAGGAGAGCTGTGAGGTGGCACTGGACATGCTGGAGTATGAGAACAGCTCGCAGTTCCAGTACGCTGTTCCAGATGGACTGCTTAGACTGCAAAGTGCTTAGTGAAACACATTTCCTAAAACATGTTAATGTTACACAGCTGATCCATATTTCGAACTCAAGTGAAAGCATTTTGAATGCTTGAACATTTAATAAACACTTAATCAATAAACAATTTTTGCAGATACAGCAAAAAAATAAAATCCTCCCTTGAAAAAACAGGAATACATTTACATAATAAAAGCATTTATTTGACCACATATACTTGTCTTATTCTGCTTTTAAGCTTTAAAATTTTGCGTCATGAATATTTTTGATATCGCTAATTAAGTTTCTAATCTCCAGTAAAGTCTGTGGCTAATGTTAAATCCTCCATGCATGAGCAGAGCTAAGAGCGCTAGTGCATGTCGGAGATCTATAACAGTACGTTCTGCCTAACTAATCCACACAGCAGTCTATCTCACTCAATAAGATTCATCTTTAAAGAAGCACACATGGAATTAAAATCCAAATGCTCTTATTCTTAAGTGATCATTACTATCTAGCATATCAGAAAATTTGCTTTAAACAAATAGAAATGAGAAGCATTGCATTCTGATCACTCTTGTATATTTGTATAAAACAATAAATCGGCAACCTTAAAAAACTAATTTGCCCTGTTATGAGTTTAGTAGATGAAAGTACACGTGCACTGCTAATTTACTGATTATAGTGTGGATGGAGGGTGACAAACCTGGAATGTTGTGCTCAGCAAAGTCTGAGGATATTTAAGCCCTCATCTGAGTTTGGGGGGAGGAGAGATGACCACGTTCTGAAGAAAAGGCTGGACCAAACCGCAGAAAAAGGCTAAAAGTAACACAAAGCAGAGAAACTCTGTAGACGGCAGTTAGGGAGAAACTTGCAAACATGCTACACCCCTTCATGATTGGTATTGTCACAATTAATACCTCCATCACCATTGCATACTGGATCTTCATTTTGACAGAAGCCTTTCACAAGAAGACTGATGATGAAGCCAAAAAAGACAACCCTGCTTAGCCAACGCACCCTTAATATAGTTACGTGTAGAGAAGGTTAGAGTAGAGCTTCTTTTGTGTCTTATATTTTTATTTAATAATGTAGATAACTTGAGGGGGGAAAAGATCTCGCCATTTGAATAATCTGACTTGAGCAAGTATTTCATGATTCCAGCTTTTCAGGAACTGTTTTACTTTCAGGTAACATTACATTTAAAAAACATTTTTTTGTTCTGCTGTTTCATATTTTTGCTAACATTTTCATTTTTATTGTTTTCAAAATTATTTTGTGTTTCATGAATGTTTTCCTTTTTGAAAAGACATTAAATCACCTCAACAGATTTGAAAAACATGCTACTGCTTCATGCTACACTTCAAAAGTTGATGTCGGTAAGTCTCTTATGCTCATCAAGGCTGCATTCATTAATTAAAAAATACAGTAAAAACAGTAATATTGTCAAATATAAAAATTTAAAACAACTTTCCATGTTAACATTTTTTAAACATATTTTAAAGCAAATACTCCTGTCTTTAGTGACCTTTCAGAAATCATTCTAATATACTGATTTGGTGCTTAAGTAGCATTTATTATTATCATATTATTTCATTATTTTCTAGATTCTTTGATGAATAGAAAGACTTCTGTAACAATTTTTCAATGTCACCTTTGATCAGTTCAATGCATCCTTGCTGAATAAGTGATTTAAAAAAAACAATAGTGAACGGTAGTAAATTCTATGGATTTTTTTATTTATTTAGATTAGATCCTTTTAATTTTAGATAAGTATTCCATTAAGAAAAAAATCATTGTAAATACACAAAAGGTTCTAATTCAGTGGAGTAAAGTCTTGATAACTAGCCCTTTATACCTTTCATAATCTGTGTAACAAGCATGGAGAAATGAGCATTAGATGGGCAGGGAGATGAATAATATAGATCAGATATGACTCATAGGATCAGATCTGTCTGAATCACTGACTCAACCACACAAAAGCTCTTCCTCTGTCAGTCATTCAGTCAGACAGACAGAGACTCTGAGAGAGTTTGTGCAGCATCAGCCTCTGGAAGAACAACACCGCAGCTGAAATTAGACATGCATCCCATATTGATCAGCATAGTGGCAGCCAACACAAGTTTAACTATTGTCTACTGGAACTTTCTTCTGTCTCAGGTTTTCTGCAAGAAGATCAAAGATGCACCGCAACCTGAGGAAATTCCAGTCTGAGTGAGTATTATTATTATGAGAGTCGTTGGACTATTACTCTTACAAGATAATTTGCTGAATCCTGCACTGTAAAACAGTTTCAGCGCCAAGTCTCATTACTGTACTGTGGATGTCTTTGATTTTATTTTATTATTTACTTTGACAGTAAGGAATTTCATGACTTAAATGATTGAAGGTTGTAGGAAAAGGAATTTCAAAAGTCCTAATGAAGAGAACAAACACTGTTCCCATCTTCACAAATCTCAAAAACAGGACACATGAAATCGAAAGTGACAGTAAAGATAATTATAATGTACTAAAGATGTCTGTTTCATATAATTGTTCTTTAATCAGTATCATTTTGATAATACACTGATAATACGAAATGTTTCTTGAGCATCAAATCAGCATTTTTGAATGATTTCTAAAGAATTGTGTGACACTGAAGACTGGATTAATGGCTACATTTAAACTACATTTTAAAATATATTAATAGTAAATAAAAAATTGCAATAATATTTCACAATTTTACTGTTTTTACTGTATTCCTGATCAAATAAATGCAGCCTTGGTGAGCATAAGAGACATTAAAATATACTGACCAAAGTTTTGAATGTTAAGTTGTAGGAAGTTGTGTCACAACTGACAACAATTAAGGCTTATAGCCTTTCACTGACAGAAAGGTGATACTGTCTTACAGGTCTGTAAATCTGATAGTGGACTTGCTGAGATCTTTTTGCTCCATCCCCTGCTTTAGCTCAGATGTTGCTTAATCAATCCATTCTCATACACTGTAAATAAAACCAATTGGAATAATTTTGGCACAGTATACCGTTTTAGTATAACCTATTCTTGGTGTACAATGTAATTTAAAAACCTTTTTACAATGTAAAAACACACCCACTCCCTCTTGAGAGTGAACAGGAGCATCTCAGACGGGATTAGGTGGATTACTGTATAGGTAACCCTTGATTAAAAGCTTTCACCTTCATGAAAGACAGCTGCCATTACCAGCAATGTAATATCAGAGTCAGCGAGATGTCAGCCAAAGGATTAAGCCTGGGATTAAGAGAATCATATCAGGCTACTTCAGAGCACATTCGCTGGCCTTTACCACAGAATAATGAACTCTGGTCATAATTAGCAGGTATAGCTACATTTGAAAACATTACATTTCCTTTTACACACAGGTGGAGGCCTTGGTCGTGATCCTGACAATGAAGAGGAAGAAGAAGAACCACCAAAACTGATCTTTGGGAAGGAAGTAGGGATGAGGGAGAGAAAATAAGAACAAAGGAGGAACAGACTGCCATTTGACCCAGAAGTGGACGGATAGAAATTCTGCCAGGATTTAAGTCTTCTGTATTTGAAAAATCATGGGGTTAAAAAGGTGTCACTGAATAGATTTATGAACAAACCTCTCTCTCTTTCATCCATTAGTCCATCTTCTCAAGCCCAAATCTCTTGCTCAACCACTAATTAAAAAACAAACAAAAAATCAATCTTTCTTTCTTTGTCAGTGATGCTCATTTCCACTTGTTGTAAGTTACTAGAAAATCCAAAGCTTATGTGTTTTAAGTTGTGCCCCCCCCCCCCCCCCCCCCACTATATTTAGCAAAATAGCTAAAAAAGTTTGGTCTTACTCTTTTACATGTGTTTCATTCCCTCAATAATAAATGAATACAACAGAGAGTGGCAATTGTTATCTTGTACTCTCTGATCCGGATTAGCATGATTAGCATGTGCTGGCTCCTGCAGGAGTGTTCAGCACAGATAGAGGGTGCTGTGTGCTCAACATAGAGGACATACTTCTGTTTTCCAAAGTCAATGAAAGCACCAACCTTATTTAAGTTACACGCAATTTGTACATCCTGTATTGTGATCCACTGGACCACGTGTTTGGGCTTGTGGATATGTCCAGTTGTTACATTAAAAAGTTGTTGCTACATGATCTAACCATTACAAATACTTTGGTTGGTGTAATGTAATGAAGTCAGGACAATCAGACCAGGACATTCAAGGATTCAGAACATTGAGGGATTTAAGACCACAGTCTGTTTGATTTCACAGAATACTATACAGTATGTTTTAGAACTTAGCAAGACTATAGTTCATTTCCTGAACTGAATACCATGACCAAGTTATAATTGTTTTCATTGACGTCATTGGTTACATTGCCCTTTAAATTACGCCAACAGGTGTTGAGACGCAGACACCTAATAGAAAAAAAGGCTAAATCCAGGCTCAAGACTTCTCCTTACGCCACTAAGCACATTAGCTTGATTGTCTTCTGCTGTCAAAGTATCAGGTCTGAGGGAAGCCCTGTCACACAAACAGTCATTCAAGGACTATCATTCTCTGGCATACTTTCTTGTGATTCTGTGAATATGCAACAAAAAGGAAGATGACTGTTGAGCATTCAGCATCAGAAAAAGAGAGAGAGGAGGAGGGCAAGATAGAAAGCTAGAAGATGAGGGGTGTCTGTCAATGAGGAACAAAAGCTTTGTGGGGTATGTACACAACATATTATCTTATTATCTGACCATAAACATAGCTAAATTATACTGACTTGCAGATATATTGTATCTAACCCTACCTCTAATCACTAGTTCAACCCTAATTCTAACCAACCTTAAGTAAGTTTACCATAAATAAAGACAATATAAACTGTTACATTTCTAACGTTTTATATGATTCTAAAGTATTCTTTAGTACACCAAGCTGTATCAGAGCTGAATAAGTTACACAAAATTAAAGCTAGCAGAGCTTTGAAATGTTTTTTGTTGTTGTTCGTTTTGTTTGTGATTGAAAGGGTTCTGCCTGTTTTTTGTCTACGTAATAAAGTTGTAATTGTGAGTGAACCTGCTGTAATGCAAGACAAATTTCAGACTTTAGTTATTTTAAATTGTAATAATATTTCACATTACCTTTTTAATGTATTATTGATCAAATAATAGTAGCCCTGGTGAACATAGTGACTTCTTTCAAAAACATTAAAATAAAACATTGAATAAATATACAATTTTAAATTATGTTTACTTTTTGTTTTTACCTAGATCAACAGAAAATGAAGGAAAAGCTGATGTTAAACTGAAACACAGTGGAGCAAACAACAATACTTATGGATTTAGACAAAAACAATGGAAGTCTTGATGAGGACTTTTTCAAGGACTACAAACCCCCAGAAAATGATCTGCTCACTCCACCCAAGCATATCATTTATCTGCTGCTGGCTGTGAGCGTGACAGGAGTCACCCTTTTTGCCATCATAAGACACCTCATCCAGGATCTCATCCATGATCTGGCAGGTATGTAACAAGAAACCGTACACATGTCTCTTTCACCTTAAGCAATTACAAACCCTCTGTGCACATTATCTGGTTAGTTGTCTATGAGCTACATGACATAGTGTTCAAAATCCCTGGAAACGGGAAAACACTTGACTGCTCTGCCAAATGCATAAACCTGCCAAAGATGGTTTGCTGTTCTCCAAGCCTTGGGGTTTTTTTTTTTTTTTGTGGCTGGTCAGCTTTAGAGACCAGCTAAGCCATTTGAATACAAGCCTAGACTCCATGATTCTAATAGCTGTCAACATCCAACATTTTTTAAAACCTTTGAAGAAATCTAACAGCAAAACATCAAGCATTAATAATACATTCATTAAAAAAGACACTAGCACTCTGTTGTACTGTGAGAACATCAGCTGAGCGCTCTTACCTGTACTGTGTCTGTAGATTTCCTGTTTGGAGAGCAGCCTGTGGAAGAGCCGGAGACTCTCTGGGAAAGGCGGGATAAGTTTAGGGCAGACTGGATTCCAGAGGCAATGCCTGAGCTGGAGGCCATGGTGAGAGATGAGGATATACAAGAACTCATGGAGGGCACTGAAGACTTGCCAGCCATCTGGGTTATATCGGACAAGTTTCAGCCTCGTGCTCCATCCTCCATTCAAATAGATGTTAGCGGCAGCTAGCATGAAATAAGTACAAGACTCTTCTCCTCTGAATGCTTGCACTGATATACTTAAATATTTTTCAAACTAACACCCAATAATCCATTGCGTCAACTATGCGCACACATCTTGTTCTTCCTTTTCTTCTAAAAGACCTCATGAAATGAAAATTATTATGAAAATGGCATAACTTACTTTTGTAACAGGACGTTGGAATGTATCAAATGGAAGATGAATTGAAGACAATTTGCTAGTCAGCAGCATGTGGTCTCAGAGGACAGGAAATGATCCTTCCAGAGAGAATCTGATTGGACAAACAATTTCATCCATCTAGTGCAAGATGAGTCGTCGTTATTTTTCTCTGTTTTCCCCAGAAGAGAAAGACTGTCATTTTTTAATGTGTATATCTGCTCAACGTGAATTCTGTAACGTCAAGTTGGATAGAGATGACCTCAAAGCAAACGCACATGGTCTAAATGAAACAAAACTCTAAATTTGAATAAATAAGGTGTTTTACATTTTTGGACATACTGTTGCACTATATCAATTCAATAGACGTTTTTGTGTTTATGAGCCCTTACAGAAGTTTAACCTGGCACGACCTTCTGTTCTGTGCCAGCTTGGAAAGTAAACCTTTGTTTTTACAACATAATAGCATGTAACATTTTCAGTGGGAGATTATCTAACAATCACGCACACTTACTCTCTGAGTGACATGCTGTGATCTGTGACCTCTCTAATGGATTTTGTACTTTGGACACCAAGAATCCTTCACATATTTACAGACGACTGAGAGGAACGCAGCAGTGCGTGCGGACTAAATTCATCATGTTTCATCTACAGAATATCGTTGCCTTCATAATAATCTCTGCCTCTATTTGTCAGGCTCAAGCTGGTGAGTGAAATTAGACACATTTCATGTTGTAGTATATTCTTTTCAATGTGTTTTTCTTGACTAAATTTGAACTCCTTGAACTGATTTAACATATAAAAGTTGTATAGTAAAGCCTTCGGGTGTAAAACATTTACAGACAAAAAACCTTTCTGTGATACACTGTTACTCAGGTGGTCAACGGGCATCTTCAGATACAGCTAAAGTCACATTACAGCCGTGGCTGGTGGGACTCACAGCAGTTGTTGTTTTTCTCTTTATTGTCTTCGTCCTCCTCATCGTGCAAAGACTCTTTTTCAAGAAAAACAAGTGAGTCCGGACCTGAAATGTTTCAGGACGATATATACTGTACATTATATAAAAAAATCTACATAGTTCATAAAATTCCTTATTCTTCTCTTTTACATAACTTTTGACGGTACATTCCATTTGTTTTGTGTTTTTCTTATAGCAATAGCAATAATACTTCTAGTTAAAAAATTTAGATTTTGATCATTTGATTAGTCATGTAATAATAATATGGTGACGATGAGTTTATGGTTCTTTAAACAATTACTGCAATTTAATGACTGTACACTTCAAGATACTGTCAAGGCCATGTTCAGTCACCTGACAAGACACACCTAAAGACATAATGAACAAATGCATTTCATGTTTAAACATTAATGTAACACTTTGACAATATATTTTTATTGTATACAATATATACACTACTGTTAAAACGTTGGGGTCGGTAAGATTTTTAAGAAAATAATAGTAATGATATTAATAATATTAATGTATAATGTTACAAAATATTTCTATTTCAAATAAATGCTTTTGAATTTTCTATTCATCAAATAATCTTGAAAATATATAAATGAATATATTTGTCAACACAGGAATAAATTACATTTTAAAACATACAAAAAAAATTTCCACTTTCCAAAAAAAAATTGTCAACCCCAAACTTTTAAACAGTATGAGTACAAGATACTTTTCTTTTCAAAATGGTCACCCTGGACCACAAAAGCAGTCATAAGTAGCACGGGTATATTTGTAGCAATAGCCAACAATACATTGCATGGGTCAAAATTATAGACTTTTTTTTGCCAAAAATCATTAGGATATTAAGTAAAGATCATGTTCCAAGAAGATCGTAAATATATGAAAATGTCATTTTTGATTAGTAATATGCATTGCTAAGGACTTAATTTGGACAACTTTAAAGGTGATTTTCTCAATTTTCGTTTTTTTTGCACCCTCAGATTCCAGAAAAATCTTGGCCAAATATTGTCTTATATTAACAAACCATACATCAATGGAAAGCTTATTTATTCAGCTTTCAAAACATTGACCCTTGGTTTTGTGGTCCAGGGTTACAATTTTAATCTGCTTTCTACTTTGAATACATGATTAATCAATAAATAATTAAACTTAAACTTTTAAATTCACCACCGCATCCCATTTCTGAGTTTGTATGAGTTTACTAATTATTAAACTGTCTAGTCCCAGTGCAAGGCGACTCTTTAAACATAAAGCATTTCATCAATGTGTATCTCCCTTTGCAGAGATGAGCTAGAAGAAAGGCATTCATTTTATGAAAACAAAGCAGCGGATCTGGAGGCAAATGAGGAGACCAAGCAGACCACTTTCTAATGAGAAGAACAGATGATCACAGTCCTGCAGCACACAAATCTTTCTCTCTCTGGAAATTATGCCACAACTTTGTGCAGACTAATTATAATACTATCTTATGTAATATATCTTTTTAACATTAATTTTGGTCTAAGTTTTGTTTTTGTCTTCATAAGTATTGTTCCTCACATCATCCACTAGATGGAGCAGACTTCACCTAGTCACAGCTTTAAACTAAAGTTAAAATAAAAAAAGGTTCAAATAAAGTGGTGCTCTCTCTCTCTCTTTTAATTAATTTAGATTTTTTTTGGCATATTCTCAATACTCGTTTGACTACTTTGCTGTAACTGTAACTTGTGTAAGGTTTATCATTAGGGTAGTGAGAACATTGGAATAGAAGAGCACACGCTCAGTGATTCACATCATGCACATAATGCTCTGATTTACTGGCTTTTGACTTGCATGACATGTCTGGGTTCTGCATGCATATATGCTAAATGGACATGGGTATGAGATCCATTACTCATTTTGACTGGCAGTTTGGACATGTTAAATGCTTCCAGTCAAATGATGTAACACAGTTTTGCTTTGAAACCATTTGCTCGTCTCGGGGGATTATATGATGAAAATATCATTTGCAGAAAAAATGGCCAGGTGTTCAAATGTGTTAATAATGGAGACCATTATAGTACAGCGTTGAAGTTAAAGTAGACTTTAGTCTGGCGTTGCCTAAATGAACAATCTGATTAGTAAGACTATTGAGCTGTTAGTGATGATGTAACGCATGCTCTTTATATGGGTTAAAGGGGAACGCTTCCAGTTTTACACTCTTAATGTGAACCTAAGAACTGCTGGTATTTCATAACATTTTAATTAGACAGATGATACTGTTGCCCTGGCTGCATGTGCTTCTCAAGGTTTCCCATACATGGGAAACAGTTTAGCTGAAACAGTGCTGATGAGTGACAGTAACTAAGCTTACAGTCAGCAGCAATAAGTGAAGCATGAAACCAGAGAGAGAGAGAGAGAGAGAGAGAGAGAGA